ATGTATGTATGTATGTATCTATGTATGTATGCATGTATGTATGTATGTATGTATGTGTGTATGTGTGTATGTGTGTATGTGTGTATGTGTGTATGTGTGTGTTTGTATGTATGTATGTATGTATGTATGTATGTATGGTTGTATGTATGTATGGTTGTATGTATGTATGGTTGTATGTATGTTTGGATATATATATATATAAATGTATCGGTTCACGTTATGCGAATGATGAGGCAATGCATCATGCTATCAATTCATGGCATGAGGCATGGTTATGATGCATATGATGTGTACGCACGGGATGGGCATTGCAGCAATACTTGTGACGGCGCATGCATCGCACAATGTCTTCCATCTGCGTGCCTGTGTTCTGCGACTTTGCACGTTGTTTTCACGCAACTCGCATGCGCCCTAGGCCATACTGAGTCAGCAGCTCGACATCATCCATACTACCTCGTGGACACGAATCCAGAAGGAGTAGGAAGAATGGACGCGGCAGGTCTTGTTCCGTGCAAACCAGTAAACAAGACATGACGCATGTTTAAAGAAGTGCTGGCTGCTTTGGAGATGGGCCCTGCAACCTTATATCAGGGCCTCCCATGTTGGACGGCGAATGATATTGGCATGGCCGCGGGCCACCAACATAGCATTCAATCATGAAGCGGTGTAGGAGCCAATGCCACCATCGACCTGCCCACTCGCATCAACATTCGTTCAGGTATCCCTTACCATGTAATGCGAGGCCCTGGCCAATTCCCCCATATGCCCATTCCCGCTGGATGCGATTGCGTTTCGACAGTTTCGAGGGTTCGCATTCTGAGGAGTACAGCGCCACGTCCCTGATTACGTTTCGCCTAAGTTTTCTTCTCTTGTTTGCGCAAGGTTTCTTGGGTTGCCCCGTTGCCGGTTTGCCCAGTATTCCTTAGGGTTGCCCAGGGTTGTTTTGTTGTTTGGGCTGTGTGGTTGCACAATGCCGACGAGTTCCATGCAACGCCAAGCAATGCAATACGAAGCAAGGCACTTCAATGCAAAGCAATGCAAAGCAATGCTAAACAATGCCAATCATTGCCAATCAACCCCAGTTAAATCAACGCCAAGCAACGACAAGCAATGCAGAGCCAGGGCCCAGGCAACGCCAAGCAATATCAAGCAAGGCTAAGCAACGTCCAGCAACAATTCGAAATAATGCCAAGCATCGCCACTCAAGGCCACACAATGCTAAACTCATGCCCAGCAATGCTGAGGATTGCCTAGCCATGCCAAACAATAGCAAGCAACGCCAAGCAATGCCAAGCAAGGCCAATGACTGCAACGCAATACAAAGCAACGCCAAACAATTCCGCAATGCCAAGCAACGAGTCCAAGCAATGCGACGCAACGTCAAGCAATGCAAATGAATGCCAAGCAATGCTCTGAAGAGCATCGCTCTGCATTGCCCAATAATGGTTTGAATTGGTTTGGAAGGGAAAGCCTTTAAATGTGGTCGCGCTGGGGTGTTGTTTTTTTTTGCTTGCAGTCTGCCTGTTTTCGAAAGCACCGGTCGCCCAATGCAGTGACCATCTTCTTACCAGAAGGGAGTCCACCATGAGAAACAGAGAACAAAGGCGATAGTGTCTGTTACTTCTCGAGGTAGGCGTTGCGACGGCGCGCCGCCGGAAAGAGGAGAGGAGGGAAGATGGAGGAGGAGGACGGCGGAGAGGAGAGGAGGGAAGAGGAAGAGGGCGAGGGGGAGGGGGGAAGATGGGGAGAGGAGACGAGAGAAGAGGAAGAGGGAGAGGAGGGAGGAGGGGCACGAGAAGGGAGGGCGAGGCGCAGGAAGGATGGGAGCCGAGGCGCCAGGGCGGAGCGCGGGGAGCGAGAAGGGCTCCACCGGAGAGGAGGCTCCGCGAGGGACGAGGGGCGCGCGAGATCGGCCGCGGGCGGCCCGGGCCGCCGACGCGCCGTGATGTTTGTTTTGTTGCTCGCCGCGCGGACGCACCGAGAGTGCCCCTCGCCATTGACAAGGGCTCCCTCGAGGGCGCGAAGTTATTCGCGCTTCGCGGTCCTCGTTCCTTCTCCCCCTCCTCCTCGTCCTCCTTTTCTCCCTTTGGGGGGGCGGCGCGAGAGCGCGAAGTTATTCGCGCTTCGCGCAGCGCGAAGCGCGAAGTTGGGAGCCCTAGATTGACGAAAGCACAGGCCTCGGAACAAATCAGCAAACACTCACGCCAAATTCATCTGTCAACGCTTCCCCCCTCCCCCCGATGTGCAAAGTTGGCGGTGGGTCTTTGATGAGATGTTTTTCGACCGCAGAGTTCCCCCGCGCGTGCCCAGGTTGAGTTTGGGGGGAGGGGGAGTATTCAGTAATTGTTTCCCTCTACCGTACCCGCACACCAGGCCCAGACATCGGGCGACTCGAAAAAATCGAGACACGGGTTTTTCGCAGTTCTTGGCCTCTCAGGGGCCCTCGCGGGGCCTCGGGACCGTCAAGAAATGGCTCGGGAGGAAAAGCCGGTCCCGGGAAGTGGTCGGGAGGTCGGGGGCCCGCGTCTCGGAAACATCGAGACGTTGGATGTCTGGGACCACAGACAACAGTACCAGTACACCAGAGAATAATCTAGCAGGGGGTCGACTACAGAGTTGTTTTACCCCGATATTGATTTGCTCGTCGGATGTACGAACAATACGTCGGAGGCTCGTACATCTACATCCTTTCGACGTATACTTCCCTCGCATATTCGACGGCAATTCCAATTTTGGGATTAGTCAATTCTGTACGCGATCCCCTACTCGAAAAGACCCGAATCAGTGGATGGTTTGATCGATAAGGAGATCGACTGGGGAACCCACCGAAGTCGGCCGGGAACCAAGTAGCCAGGAACTTGGGAGTTTGGGACCGGGAACCCGGGAATCCAGCTGGCCACCCGAATCGGCGGGGGTCATGTTCGCCAAATCTTTCGATTTCCGCTGGGACCCTTTCAGTGCAAGCACCGATTGGGGAACTACCATCTCCTCCTCCTCCTTCTCCTCCTCCTCCTCCTCCTCCTCCTCCTCCTCCTGCTCCTCCTCCTCCTCCTCCTCCTCCTCCTCCTCCTCCCCCTTCCCCTCCTCGTCCTCCTCTCCTCCTCCTCCTCCTCCTCCTCCTCCCCCTCCTCCTCCTCCTCCTCCTCCAGCCCCCCCCCCCAGACTGGTGTGCCGGACGCCCTGCGCGGCAGTGCCGGGGACGCACTGAGGAAAGGAACGTGGACGTCAAGGGGGTTTGGGGGGTGGGGCGGCGGAGGGCAGGGGACCTAACGCGCGCTATGGCCCAGAAGGAGGAAGAGGAGGAGGAGGAGGAGGAGGAGGAGGAGGAGGAGGAGGAGGAGAGGAGGAGGAGAGGAGGAGGAGGAGGAGGAGGAGGAGAAGGAGGAAGAGGAGGAGGAGGATGACGAGGAGGAGGAGGAGGAGGAGGACGAGGAGGAGGACGAGGAAAAGGTGGGCTTATTGGGGCCCCCCGATCGCGGGGCGCGATGCGATGGCAGCGGCCTGTGCGCTCGGGGCCGGCCCTCCCGCATCCGACCTGGAGCTTCGGGTGCCACTCCTGGGAGGTCAAATTCCGACTCTGCCCTGGTCCGAAATCCGGCTCAATCCGGCTTAATCCCACCAAATTTGTGAACCCGGCTGAATCCCGCCAAATCCGCTGCCCAATCCAGCGTAACGGCCCCTTGCTGTGGCTCAATCTTCCCCGGATCCTCCCGAGGAGCACCTCCCAGTAGTTGCCTCCGAGCATCGCCGCGCACCAGAGGCCGCTTGTGCCCAGGGCCACTCCTGCGAGGCCCGCACGGCGCGGGGGGCGGTCCGAGCGGGGGGGGGAACGGCATGCTGCTCCGAGAAGGCCCGCACGGGGCCCGCACGCTCCTCGACGTCGAGTCCTCGGCGAGCAGCAGCGACGGCTCGGCGGGCGAGGACTGATGGGCTTTTTCTCCACCGCCACCACCATGAGTTGGAGGGTGAGGGGATCCTCCTCCATCTCCTCCTCCGCCTCCTCTTCGTCCTCCTCCTCCTCCGACTTATGGTGGTGGTGGTGGTGGTGGAAAACAGGCCCATCAGAGGACGGCGACGGAGCGCCGTGGCTGCGCTGCCAGCGGCACGCCCGGCACGCCGGCAAAGCGGCCGCCGTCGCCCTCGCGCTGGCCGCCGCGGCCGCGCCGGGGGCGGCCGTGCTGGTGCTCCAGACCGGGTGCTGCTGGAGGTGCCCCTGGCCCGAGGGCCCCACGGCCTCCAGAGCACCCCTCGTGAGGCCCAGAGGGCCCCCCAGGGGCTCCAAAGGGGAGCGAATAGCTGGGGGGTTGTCGCGGGCCAGGGGCCCCTTCGGCAGCCCCCGACCGGATCGAAGAGCGGACAGCAGCACAGGCACGGGCCCGCGCGGAGCTCCGCGCGGGGCCCCCGGGGGCGGCGCCTCCGCCGCCGCCCCCCGTGCGGCGCGCCACGCTCCACGAGGGGGCGGGGGGCCCCGTAGGGGCCGCCCCACGGGGTGCGCGCGGACCTCCGGCGGCCCGTGCTCGCGCTGCCTGCCCTGCTCCCGCCAGGGTGGCCGCGCCCCGTGGGCCCCGCGCGCCGCGGCCTCCCGCGCTGCCCTGGAGGCCGGCGTCCAGTCGCTCGCCCTGGGCTGCGAGACGGACACCGGCGGCTCCTGCAGCTTCTCCGGGCGCTGCGACGTCTCCCGGGGCCCCGCGAGCTGCGACATGGGCAGATGCGTGTGCCAGGCGTCGAAGGGCCAGCTACATGAGCATAGTTTGACTTCCGGAGGTCCGCGAGAAGTTCTACGAGCGGCGCCGGACCCCTTTGCCGGCGCCTCCGGCGCCGCCCGTGGCGCGCTCCGCGCCGCCAGGGAAGGGGGTCCAGCGCCGACCCAAGGAATCTGTGCGGGCCTCAGATTGTTGATGCTTCTGGCGCCACTTCTTCTTCTTCTCCCAAGGCGGGCTACTGCACGGACTCCACAGGTAACTGCCGGCTGACTGAGGCGCCAGCGAACGGCACCGAGCCTATGGTCGACGAGGTCGTGGCCGACACCTTCGAGCTGGAGACCTCGGCCCCGGGGGTCGAGTGCCAGAACACCCCTGGCTGGGCTAACGGCTGGTCGGCCTGCGCTTACCAGCAGGACGGCCACAACCCGAAGTTGTGCAGGCCCATTGTTGCGGGTGCCCCCTGGCCCAACACGCGAGGCTGGACCTGCGCGGCGTACCGGGAGAAGGGCTGGTGCGCGAATGGCACGGCGGTGGGCATACCTTGGTGGGCCAGGGGTGGCTACCCGTCGCGGAATTGCTGCTCCTGTGGCGGCGGCAAGGTCATAGCCGACGAGTCCAAGGCGGAGAGCCCACCATCGACGAGGCTCTCGAAGGAGGAACAGTTAAGCGTTGCAAAAACACGGGGTCGTCTTCGCCGACATTCGCGCGTAAGGTGCCCGCGTCAGCTCGCGCGTAAGCGCCCTCGTCTCCAATGTGGCGTGCCGCGCTGGCGGCCCGCGTAAGCTGCGGCGTAAGGTCGCTACGCCATCTCGCGTGCAAGACCCGTTTTTGATCGTCGCTCAGTCGCACATAGACACAGATGTTCGGAGGCCCGCGAGGAGCTCCTGGATCCGCACCGGACCATTCCCCCTCCTGGCCGGCGGCTTCTTCAGTGCCGCCCCTGGCGCGCTGCGCGCGATGGGGGGTCCAGCGCCGACCCGAGAAGTCCGCCTGGACCTCCGATGGTTTACAGTCGGAACCGATGGCAAGGATGGGTCACCTTCCAGGGGTACCCTTGCATCATCGGCGGTTCGCGCGGATTTCTCGGATCGGCGCTGGGGTCCCCCGGCGGCGCCTCAGGCGCCGCCCCTGGCGCGCTCTGCGCGCCAGGGAGGGGGGTCCCCTGATCCTTGCCTCCTCGGTCCATCCTTACCCCCTCCGATGGCCAGCCCCGCGCGAAGTTCTCCTCGACATGGGCGTCCACAATGCCCTTGCATCCTTGTCGCGCACCCTTACCATCAGTGTTGACTGTACGTGCCTGTAGCTGTTCTTCCTCCCCCCAGGCCCGCCGCCATCTGCCAGGCGGACACTGGGGGCACGTGCGGCTTCACGTCCTCGTGCCACAGCTTCCGGGGGGCGACGACCTGCGAGAGCGGGAGGTGTGTCTGCAAGGAGGGCCAGGGCTGGACCTAAACGGTGCTTCGGCGATTTCGTGGGTCGTTTTCGTTTCGATTTCGTTTTGCGGTGAAGGCGGATTGGGGACAGAACGAGGGAAAAACGACGACAGAACGAAAACGCAAAACACCGTTCAGGTTCAGCCCTGAGGAGGGCTACTGCTCCGACGCCGCGGGCACCTGCCACCGGCAGCAGACGCCCACGTCCGCACCCATGTCGGGTCGGGCGAAAGGGGGGGATTGGGAAAGGGGGGGTTACGAAATTTGCTGCATGCAGCTGGTTTCGGCCTCACCGAAGGGCCAATTCCTCGATACATGGCCGCTCCCGGCGCCGGGAGGCGCTGGAAAAATCAGCTACGTGAGCTGATTCTCAAACCCCCCCTTTGCTATCCCCCCCTTTCGCCCGACCCGACCATGGCGGTCCCCGCGGTGCGGGACGCCCTCCACCTGCACAGGAGCCGGCGGCGCGCGCCGCGGGGGGTCGCGCGCGGGGGCCGCCGTCGGAGACGGCGGGGGCCTTCTGAGAAGGCAGGTCAGGAAGGAACAGACAGACAGAATTGATCGTCGATTCCTCAAAAAATACAGGAAAATGTGGGAAGTGTGGGGGAAGACGGAAACCCAGAAAATATGGGCAGATGTGGGGGATATTCCTATTTGTGTGTCTTTCTTTTTGTGTCCTGGGGCCCCTTCAGCAGGGGCCTCCTCTGAGAAGGCGGGGGCCTTCTGAGAAGGCAGGGGCCTCCTGAGGGGGGCACGGTGGCTTCTGCCGAGGAAGGAGAAAATCAACCGGACCGGGCAATGGGCGTTTGCTGGACGGCCCTGGGCGTTGACGAAACAGCCCTGCCCTGATCGATTCCTTCTTGGGGCGCGTTTGCGAAACGGCTTCGCGTGTCGGGGTGGTTATGATGGGGGCGGATTGTTTGACCTCTATTTCTAAGAGTCGGGGGCGGACATACCTCCCACCCTGACACGTCGATTAGTGAATTGTCCGTTCTCGGTTCTCGAGAGGGCACCGCGGCCGTTATTTTCCAGGCTTGCGCCCGCCAGGTTTGGGCCCGCGGTCGTCCTCCCGAAACCACGTTTCACCAAACGGGGTTCTGCCCGTCCCTGAAAGAGGGCCTCCTTGAAGCCATTCTAGGGTTTCTGCGGAGCCGCCCCGCGTTCTCAGGTACACTCCTCGCACTTGAGAGTCAGCGAGCGAAGAACGGTATAACATAAACTTTCCCGCCGTCGGGGACACCTGCCCCTGGGCGGCTGGAAAGTTTCTACCCCTACGGTGCCACCGTAAGGGTATAAACTTTCCAGCCGCGCTGGGGCAGGTGTCCCCGACGGCGGAAAAGTTTATTTTATACCGTTCTTCGCTCGCTGACTCTCAAGTGCGAGGAGTCTACCTGAGAACGCGGGGCGGCTCCGCAGAAACCCTAGAATGGCTTCAAGGAGGCCCTCTTCCAGGGACGGGCAGGTGTCCCCGACGGCGAAAAAGTTCACTTTATACCCTTCTTCGCCCGTCAAGAGAGGGCCGTCCCTCTTCCCGGACCCCTCCGGCGTCTTGAGCCTCACGTCCCGACCGGTCCCATGGGCCGGCTCTTCGTCAGTCGCCGAGCGCGTTCCACTGCTCGCAACGTGCCTGCTCTACTCGCAGACGTCAGAGAAAAAACACACCTTCGCCTCGATGGGAGATATCGTAAATCCACCATGGTGGATCCAGGCCGTGTGCGAGTAGTGACTTTGCGAGCAGTGGAACGCGCTTGCCTAATCAGAGTGAGAGAGAGAGAGAGAGAGAAAACAAAAAAAAAAATGAGAGAGAGAGAGGACCAACACAATAAAGAAAGGAAGGGAGGGATAGCTTCAGTGGATGCCCTTGGAGGGCCCCTGGTCAGAACACAGAGGGGCTGTAGCGAGTGGCTCCGAGCTGCCCCAGCAGTGAGAGCGCCGTGATAGTGGTACCATGCCGTGCCAGGCTGTACGCGGCCCCGAGTGCTACTGCTCCTCTCTTGCTCGTTGCTCGAAGGGGGTCGGAAGGAGAGGAGGGAGCAGAAGATACATACATAGATCTACATACACGGAGAGAGAGAGAGAGAGAGAGCGAGAGACAGAGCGACAGAGAGAGGGAGAGGGGGATAGCGAGAGAGAGAGAGAGAGTGACACAGGGAAGGTCGAGGCTCTGTACGCCGCCGGAGGATGGCGCCCGGCACCGTGTGCCAGGACTCCCCCGGCTGGAGCAACCTGTGGTCGCACTGCGCCTACGAGGACGGCGGCCGCCAGCCGGAGCTCTGCCGCCCCACGCCGGGCGCCAGGTAAGCGAGGGGAGAACAGGGGTCAAGCGGTGGCGAAGCGTCCCGGCTCGCCTATAGCCCTACCAAACAATGTTCTAAGAACCTGCTGTGGTTTCCGCGAAATGGTCTTAGAACATTGTTTCGCTGGGACTGCCGTGTTTGAACACATCGGGCTTATGTTCTAAGAACAGTAATTTTGTTCTTGGAACCTTTTGGGGTTCTAGTGGGACTGTGGGAATGCCGGGACGGTCGGTCCCTGCTCAAAGAAGGCCGTTTGTGCCGACAGCGGCGCTTAAGTTCGGGGGAGCGTAAGACCCGGGTTTGCCGGGACTCGGGTTCGCCATCGTTTTTTGACGACCGCGCCTCGGATTTTGACGAGGAGGAGTTTCGCGGGATGTTTGCAGCGGGAGGCCTCGTCAAAATGCAGGCTCGGCCTCGTCATTTTTTGACGACCTCGTCGGGGATTTCCGAGTCTTCCGTACCCGGGTCTTACGTCTCCCCGATAAGTGAACAGGGCCGTCTGCGCCGACCCTGCCGCTGAAGCTACCCGCGTAAGGTCGCGCGTAGGCACCCTCGCATCCAGTTCGAGCAGGACATCGACCGTAGGATTGATTTACCCCACAGCTGATGTGCTCACCGGGTTTGCGAGACACGCGCAGGGCGCCCCAGGAATGGAACTGCGAACTTTCGACGCATTTCTGGAGTAAGATCGACGAACAAATCAATTGTGGCGTACATCGACCTATACTCGAACAACGCAGCGCGCCGCGCTAGCGGCCCGCGTAAGCCACCGCCTACGGTCTCTGCCTCATCTTGCGAGGGAACCGTTTCTGACCGTCGTTCAGGTGGCCGTCGACGGCTGGGTGGACTTGCCAGGCGTACGAGGATTCGCCGTGGAACGGCACGAACGAAGTGAGTTCGGAAAGAAAGGGTACGATGCCCAACAGCAGTGCCTGTTCATTTTGACCATGACTCGCTGTCCGCACCACCGCGGACCTTGTGCATTTTAGACAGAAGGCCGCCTGCCCGACAGCGGCCGCTGTCGATTTTGGACAACATTTGTTTGTTGGGCGTCTCACCCTTTTTCTCCGCACCCATTTCGGGCGTCCAAAGTGGAAGGGAAGCCCTTGCCCTCCTCCGTTCCCTGAGATCCAGGCGTTGCTATGTTTTCACACTGGGCGTTTACGTCCGATGCTGGGCTCCGTGGATATCACAGATCGACCCCTCCCGAAAAGTGCAGCAGAAAGATGGGACCTCGGGCTGCGGTCGTGATTTTCTCAATGCGGTAATTCTCAGGAGGGTAAACAACACACAGTCACACTTGCGGGCAAGACTTGTGTCCATATCCTCTGCAGCGCGGAGTTGCGGGCTCCGTTCCCCAGAAACCCGAGGCGCACTGGATACGGATAGAAGTTCGGCCCAGAGGCTGGGCGTTCATCCATACCCAGTGCGCCATGGCCTTGTGGCGCCCCTTCCGAAAAAGTCCAAGACGCTCTGCACATGGATATGAATCTTGGCCGCAACAATTCATTTTCGATTCCTATGAAAAGATTGGAAAATATGGGAAGAGGGGGGGAAGTCAAAAACCCAGATAATATTGAAATCGTAGGGAATCCTGGGATTTGTATGTATTTATTTGTGTGTCCCTGGGCCCATTGAAATTGGATCGCTTCGCTCATTCCGCCGGCCCGTGATATGGCATCGCTGGTTTTTGTCTGTGTGTTCGTTGCCCATGTTGCGCTCTTGGGGGCGGGTGTCGTTCGGACGCGTTGCGTGGGGAGTTTTGATGGTGAAGCAGTTCCCTGGGGGTCGTCTCTCGATGGGGCGAAATAGAGTCGTCGTCAAGATGCTTCTTTGGGGGGCCTCTTGGGGTCTGTTGAGAGGCCGTTCGGGGGCGCCTGGGAGACATGTTTGAAGCCTTCTGGGGCTTCTTTTGGGCCTCCTGGGAGTCTCCTGGGGCCTCTTGGCGACATCTTGGGGCCTCTTGGAGGCCTCTTGGGGCCTCTTTGGGACCTCCTGGGCGCCTTCTGGGACGGAGGGCTCCATTTTTGAGTTCTCGGTATCCCTCCTGAGTCCCTCTTGGGCCCGTCTTGGGGCCTCTTGGTCCGTCTTGGGCGGCACTTGGGCCGTCTTGAGGGCTCTCTTGGGTCGTTTCGGCGCCGTCTTGGGAGCTTCGTGGGCCGTCTTGGAGCGGTCTTGGGGGCCTCTTGGGCCGTCTTGGAGCGTCCGGAAGCCGAAAAAGCCAGAACACAAAAAACATAGAAAAAAACCAATGAAAATCAACGATTTTGGCCTCTTGGGGCTCTCTTCGGAGGCCTCTTGGAAGGCTCTTGGGGCGTCTTGGAGGCCTCTTGGGCTGTCTTGGGGGCCTTTTGGGCCGTCTTGGGGTCATCTTCGGCGTCTTCGAGCGCTCTTTGGGCGTCTCGGGGGCCTCTTGGGCAGTCTTGGGGGCCTCTTGGGGCACTCTGAGCGCGCTCTGGGGAGCCTGAGAGGCCGCAACCAGAAGGAAAACCATCTATGAGTAGACTTGGTCGGGCGGCGACCGGGCGTTGGTCGGGGTACTTTTCGCCGGGGGACCCCCAGGGGCCGCCCCGCGCGCGCGAACTAGAAATACTGTTAATACTGTTAACCAGTTACCGGAGATCTTAGCACGCCCTGGCCCGTTGGGCCGGCGAATTATTCTGTCGCAACGTCGGATCTCAACGGTTTTTGCCATACGTGGTCGGGGGGGGCACTTGCCGGACCGGAGGGGGGCGTCAACGAAAGGAACTCGGGATGAGGAGCAGGTCCTCGGGAAAAGGGTCAGACCTCCGGTGGTCCGCGTTACGAAAAACCCAGGTATCCAACGTATGGAACAAATCAAGACGGAGGTTTTTCGCAAATGTCGGCCCGCAGGGGCCCTCGCTGGGCCTCGGCGGGCCTCGGGACCGTCAAAAAACGATTCAGGATGAAAAGCCAGTCTTCGGGAATGGGTCGAGACTTCTGGGGACCCCGTATTGAAAAAATCCCGACATCGGATCTCTGGCAATCACACGACGTCGGAGGCGGGGGGATTTCCCTGGAAACGGATCCTGAACACTTTTTGCGGTGTTCGGGCTCTCGGGATCCCTCTCGGCCCCTGGGCCATCGGCTAGAACGACTCAGGATGGAGACTTCTTCGCACGGGAGAGCCACAAGGGTCTCAGGCCTCTTCCTGTCATGGCGTGAGGAGAAGGGATGGTGCGGCCTCGGAGTGGCGCACGGCTCGG